GAGTACAGCAAAGCGGAGTTGGTGATGTACTGCGTTGTATGCCAGAAGTATGCGACGACAAAATCGTGTTTTGTTGAGGGAACAAACAAATTCAAACTTGAATACATTGTTATGTTTGTGAATGTGTACAAAATAAAGGTTTATTACATTTAAAATGGTTCAGTTGTTATTTTGACTCGTTTTGGCAGCTGACCAGCGGGGCCGGTAGATTCTTGGTGGGGCCGGTAAATTTTCAGAGTTACCGGCCCAGCTGGCCGGTTGGTTTATAAGTTAATGTCCACCCCTGCATTCTCATTTTATTAAGGTGTATCACTAGAAATGGCCCACCTTGTATAAAAATGTAAAATTTCAAGCTGAGAGGAATATTTAGAATTGATGTTGGTGAGAAATAATAGTAAAAAAGGACAAGTCTGTGAACTGGAAACACAGGACTTATAGTAAACAGGTAAAAAATATTACACACTGGGGCTTTGGGGTGCTGTGATCAACAGTGTCAAAAGCTGCAGAAAGATCTAACAATACTGAGGGTGATAATGTAGGCTTAGAAGGACAGAGTGCTGTCAAGGATGACACCCAAACTCTCCACATTCCATTCAATTCAATTAAAAAATACTTTATTAATCCCAGAGGGAAATTGATTGCTGTAGTAGCTCATAATAATAATAATAATAATAATCAAGTCATCAAAGAGTTATTGTACAATGGCTGTTGGCAGGAAGGATCTCCAGTAGCGGTCAGTGTTGCAGCCAAACTGAAGAAGCCTCTGACTGAAGACACTCTTCTGCTGTCGGACAGTCTTGTGAAGAGAACGCTCAGGGTTGTCCATCATGTTCTTGATTCTCTGGAGAATCCTTCTTTGCATTATCTCCTCCAGTGGTTCCACAGTCGTCCCCAGAACAGAACCAGCCTTTTTTATTAGGCTGTTGAGCCTTTTCAGGTCCCTGCTTCTGATGCTGCTACCCCAACAGACGATGGCTGAAGAGATTACACTCTCAACAACAGACTTGTAGAAAATCTGCAGCATCTTGCTACAGACATTGAAGGACCTAAGCGTCCTCAAGAAGTGCAGTCTGCTGTGTCCCTTCTTGTAAACGGCTTCGCTGTTCTTTCTCCAGTCCAGTCTGTTGTCCAGGTGAACTCCAAGGTGTTTGTATTCCTCAACCACCTCCACTTCTTCTCCCATGATGGAAACGGTGTTTGACTCCACCCTGTTTCTTCTGAAGTCTAAAATCATCTCCTTTGTTTTGTTCACGATCAAGGTCAGATGATTGTTTCCACACCACGCCACAAAGCGCTCCACCAGCTCTCTGTACTCAGCTTCCTGTCCATCTCTGATACACCCGACAACTGCAGAGTCATCTGAGTGTTTCTGTAGATGACAGGTCTCTGATTTGTACTGGAAGTCTGAGGTGTACAGGGTGAAAAGGAATGGTGAGAGTACAGTCCCCTGTGGTGCTCCAATGTTACTGATCACCTGGTTTGATGTGCAGTTCTTCAGCCTCACAAACTGGGGTCTGTTTGTCAGGTAGTCTTTAATCCAGGCGATAGTTGAGGCCCCCACCTGTGTCTTCTGGAGTTTCTGGCAAAGTACATCAGGCTGGATTGTGTTAAATGCACTGGAGAAATCAAAGAACATGACCCTCACAGTGCTGCCTGCTTTGTCCAGATGACAGTGGGTTGGTTGAAGCAGCTGGATGATGGCATCTTCAACTCCAACTCCATGGCGATAAGCAAACTGCAGCGGGTCCTGATATGTTCTAGTTTGCTTATTCAGAGGGACCAACAGGAGTCTCTCCAGGACCTTCATGATGTGGGATGTCAGGGCAACCGGTCTGTAGTCATCATTGACTGATGGGTGAGTTTTCTTTGGAACTGGAACAAGGCAGGATGTCTTCCACAGGACTGGAACCTTCTCCTGGGCCAGGCTGAGGTTGAAGAGGTGCTGCAGAATCCCACAGAGCTGCTCTGCACAGGCCTTCAGTACTCTGGGGCTGACACCATCTGGACCTGCAGCCTTGTTCCTGTTCAGTCTCTCCAGCTACCTCTTCACCTGACTTCTAGAGACAGATAGGTGGGAGGGGGAGGTAAATGGGGCAGCAGCATCTCCTGACTTGGTTGAAGACAGATTTATAGAACCAGAAGAGTCCATGACTGCATTAGAGGACAAAAGAGCTGGCGTGACAGGAAAATGTTGGATCAGAGGAGGATGGGATGTCTGATTGGCTGGGGACAGGCGAGGAGGATGCTGGGTTTGTTCCTGAACTGAACCTATTGAAGAACTTGTTCAGTTCATTGGCTGTGTTCGGGCTGCCATCTGTGCAATCCTTCCTCTGCTTGAAGCCTGTGATCTTCTTCATCCCTGACCAGACATCTCTGATATTGTTCCTCTGTAGTTTGTTCTCCAGCTTCTTCCTGTATGCCTCCTTGCTTGTCTCTGATCTTGATCTTCAGTTGCTTCTGTATACTCCTCAATAATTCCCTGTCTCCCTCCTTGAAGGCTCTTTTTTTTCTCATTTAGCAGATTCTTCAGTTCACTGGTGATCCAGGGTTTGTTATTAGCGAAGCATCTCACTGTTCTGGTGGGTATGATGTTGTCCACACAGAAGTTTATATAGTCAGTGACACATCCAGTCATGGCATTGATGTCTTCTTCATATCCTTGGCAGAGTCATCCAATCTGTGGTCTCAAAACAACTCTGCAGGGCTTCTTCAGCATCCTGTGACCATTGTCTCACAGCTCTTCTTGTCACAGGTTGCCTCTGAACAAGTGGTTTGTATTCTGAGCAGAGAAAAACAAAATTGTGATCTGATTGTCCCAGAGGAGGTCTAGTTTTGGACATGTATGCATTCTTTACATTTGCATAACACAAATCCAATGTCTTGTTTTCTCTGGTGGAGCAGCTGACAAACTGTTGAAATGTTGGAAGTGTAGCAGAGAACGAGGCATGACTAAAATCACCAGATATAGCCACAAATGCATTGGGGTGCTGGGTTTGTACTTCGCGACAACAGAACTGATGGCATCACATGCATTTTCAGCAATGGCTGAAGGTGGAATATAAACGGTTGCCAAGACAACACTGGTGAACTCTCTTGGCAAATAATATGGGTGACAACTTACTGCGAAGAGTTCAACATCTGGGCTGCAGAGACAACATTTCACTGAAACATGACCTGGATGGCACCATCTCTTGTTGACAAGCACTGCCACTCCACCTCCTTTTCTTTTCCCGCTCCTCTTCAGATCTCTATCTGCTCGTACAGTCAGGAACCCTGGCAGAGAGATGCTGGAATCGGGGATATGGTCCTGCAGCCACGTCTCACTGAAACACATAACACTGCACTGCCGAAACTGGCGGAGTCCTTGAAAGGGCTTGGAGTTCATCCATCTTGTTGGCCAGTGATCTCACATTGCCCATTATGATCGATGGAAGAGATGGTTTGAATTTCCTTTCTCTGTCTCAGTTTTGCTCCCGCTCTGCACCCACGCTTCTTGCGTTTTAGTTCATTTGAAATTTATGGCTTCAGTTAAGGTATTATTTCAGCCTTCCCAATGTTAATCAGCTGCTCCCAATTGTAAACCAGCTTGTTGCCATGGTTACGCATCATAACAAATGCTCAAAAAGTGAAAAAATAGCAGTACAAATACTCCAAGCTTCACAGCACCAGAAACAGAAAAGTAAAATGTCCAAAAAAATACCATTCCTCCTGAGAAACCAGAAGAAAAAATGTCCAAGAAAAGGCAAAACTTACATATAGTCAACAGAGCTACTCCAACATGCAGCCGCCCAGAGCAGCGCAGTTCCAAAACACAGCACATTCAATTCAATTCAATTCAAAAATACTTTATTAATCCCAGAGGGAAATTGATTGCTGTAGTAGCTCAGAATAATAATAATAATCAAGTCATCAAAGAGTTATTGTATATTACAATGGCTGATGGCAGGAAGGATCTCCAGTAGCGGTCAGTGTTGCAGCCAAACTGAAGAAGCCTCTGACTGAAGACACTCTTCCGTTGTCGGACAGTCTTGTGAAGAGAATGCTCAGGGTTGTCCATATTTTTCTTGATTCTCTGGAGAATTCTTCTTTAGATCATCTCCTCCAGCGGTTCCGAAACTGCCGAAATTCTGGCTGAGTCCTTGAAAGGGCTTGGAGTTCCTCCATCTTGTTGGCCAGTGATCTCACATTGCCCATTATGATCGATGGAAGAGATGGTTTGAATTTCCTCTTTCTCTGTCTCCGTTTTGTTCCCGCTCTGCATCCACGCTTCTCGCTTTTTAGCTCATTTGAGATTTGTGGCTTCAGTTGAGGTATTATTTCAGCCATTCCAATTTTAATCAGCTGCTCCCGATTGTAAACCAGCTTGTTGCCATAGTTACACATCATAACAAATGCTCAAAAAGTGAAAAAAGCTTAAAAAAAGCTGTAAAAATCCTCCAAGCTTCACAGCACCAGAAACTGAAAAGTAAAGTGTCCAAAAAATAGGTTTTCTTGAGAAACTAAAAGAAAAAATGCCCAAGAATAGGCATATGAGTGGATGGAAGGATGGAGAATTATCCCTTACCCCGGTGAGCAGACAGCTGCTCAAGAGAGAAATCAGTGTGTGTGTGTGTGTGTGGCACAAGATTATGAGGACACACAGCACATTAACAAAATAATGTGGTTCAGAGTCTCCAAAAGCAACACAACTCATTTCCGCCTATTTTTACCTTATAATGGAGGACACCGCAGAATTTCCCGTGTGCATTAAACTCCGCCCCAGGCTCTGGGATTTCCGCATTCCTGAGAAGTCCCTCGGGTTTATATGTGAATACTACAACGCCCGTTGGAGACCGAACTCACGCCACACAGCCCGACCAAACCTCGACCGTGCCGATGCTAATGTGTAAGCGCCATAATGCTCCAACTAAAGGCTTTTCCTTTTATACCATCTCTAAAGACACAGGACAGTTTAGATAAGTGGGAAACTTTAAGGACTGCAAATTATAAGAAAATTTTACCTCCAACTGGACGTAATTTAGGCACACCTCCTTGGAAAAGCCCCCCCATTGACACTGGTCCTCCACTTCCGAAACCTCCTCCACCACCGCCACCGCCTACACCTCCTACAGCTGATTCTGGAAAGGTGATGACATGTTAGGCACACATAACCAGCAGATATCTAACAGACAGCACAGCTGATTCCGATGCATCAGTTGGCCAGTTAACCAGAATGATAATTAGCATTTTTCATCATCAACATTGGTCGATAAGCCTATTTAGTAGAGCCAATTTAAAATCAGGCACCTCCACAGGCAGCCCACTGCTACTGGGGTCCGCTGTGGAAATACCCCAATCCAAAAATTAGGAGTATAGCCTCTGTGAACTTCCTTCTTTCAAGTGAGGATGGTACGACTTTTCCTGTCTGTGTGCTAAGACAGTAGCCTGGCAAGCCAGACTAAATAAATGTATTATTAAGTGTGGCAACGCTCCATTGACGGCTCTCGGTTGTGGGGCGGGTTCTACCGTTGTCTTTCAAAGGATCTCTGCATTCCACTGGACAATGAATGTGACATACTCTTGTTTCACTCTGTTGCATCATCCCACCCACCAGGCATATAGAGTGCCCTGATTGGCCCACAAAGTGGATAAAGCTCTGTGATTTGTCCACTAAGCAGATAGAGCACTATGATTGGCCCACCATTATGGACCAATCACAGCTCTTTATGTGTTTGAAACCCCTCTAGAGAGCTGTGATTGGCTAGCCAGAGTCCTGGTAGGAGCTGCTGAGGTTCCTATGGAGCATGCCTAGACCATTCTTTGCAAAACAAGAATTTGGTCTAGTTCACTAGGCTACTAAGACGGTGGTGTTTTGGCTGAGTCCAGAAAATTGCAGATGCTAATTCTAGCTAGCCTGCTAACTGCAGCTAAGGTGACTGTCCACTCCCCCCCCCCCCCCCCCCGAACGAAAACCTCCTTCTCTGTGTGTGTTCCAGATGACGTTGTGTGATTCAAAGCCAGTTGTGCTGGTCAACTGCTCTTGTGTGGCTGGCTGTGGAATCTGCAGCCACTTGGTAGCATTGATTATCCAGAGTGCTCAATCATTAAACTGAATGTGGCATGTCTGTTGTCCTTACCTGTCCCAGCATGCAAACAGATGGAATAGAAGTGGCATAAACCATGAACAATGGTTTGTCTCATTCCAGAACCTAACACTTGCATTACTTTTTACCATCACTTTATTAACAAAATCTGTTTAATACACGGGGGTGAAACCTGGACCAGTGGATACCATGGTTGTCCTAAAGCCCACACCAGGTGCTACTACAACAAGTGGAGTTAGGCAAGTATCACTAAATTTAAATAGCAGGCTACAGTGTGTTGTAAAAATAAATGCTTCCGGTTGCCTGATAATGTAATTCCATGAGTAGAGCAGGGGAGCTGGAGCTTTTTTATACCTTAATAAAAAAATCATGTTCTGTTTTATACAGCAATTGTCTCAATTTACAGATGAATTACAATCATAGACCAATGAATGTTTTATCTAAAGTAAATTTAATAAGACTTGATTGCTTCACAGTATTATTTAGAGCTGTAGCTATTGATTATTTTAGTATTCAAGTAATCTATCAAATCCTCCATTGATTCATCGAGTATTCTATTTGACGATGTTTAACGTGAAACATGACTTTAGTCTGCTGCTAAACATAAGAAAAAAAAAGGCTAAATTACAAAAGGCTCAATAATATATATTAAATTGGTGTTGTCTAGTTCCCTCTTTCCCAGCTGATATTTATAGTTAATGAATATTTTATGGAACAAAATTTGACATGGAGTAGTAATGGACTTGTGGTCAAGTTTTCACCAACAAATTGCCCAGAAAGTAAACTTTCATTTGCAGACACAAACACACCATCCGTCTGGCCTCCAAATCCAATTCTTGTTACTAGCCAAAGCAGCTATAACATCTTTGCTCAAGGCCTCATACGAGACTGCAGCATCCTCACAATGAATAAAAGTCAACCTCCTTGAAGTTCCTACGTGACTTTACCACTTATAGGTTGAAAAAATCAAATGTGTTGAATGAACAAGATGTTGAATTAAATGTTTGAATAATCTGTGCTTTAATCATCATCTATACTCATACACATTATAATAAATAAAATAAACTTCACACAAGTGTTCTAAAACATTCTCGCTCACACATAGAGTTAACTCTCTGAGGATCTGATGGAAGGAGGGACTTCTGAAGTATATTTTGGTAATGCCCTCAAACGAGTCAAATTCTGATTTGCCAAATTTATAAGCAATGTGTTTTAATAAAACAGGAATTACTTCCTGATGAATTCAGTTTCTAGCTGACTCCCAATTCAGTTAAATCGGGAAAAAGATATTTTGAAACCATCTTCTCCTTTGACCTCAAGTCAAAGCCTCTCTGCAACGCTGCGAGTGATACAGACACAACGGCTCTTCTAAGACCCAACAAACAGATTTAGATGCAAACAAGCATTCCAGCTTCCTGTCGTCACCTGGAGAGATCTCAGACTAGACGGGTTTTATCGGTGCTGTTGCGTCCGAAAGGATTTTTTTTTTTGAGGAGGAAGGCCTGTAGAGATCCTGATCCTGATTGAGCAGTTGCGAGGAGCAGACCTGATAAAGAGCCTGATGACGAGCAGCTGTGTCCCTCATTCTCTGCCCATGCCAACCAGCCACCATTTGTTTGTGCTCAGCTTTGTGAATAGTCTATAAAAATCAAAGTCATTTATTGTCATTTCTACCACATGTGCAAGACATACAGAGAAACGAAATTGAGTTTCATGTACACACAATTCAGAGATCAGACATACATGGGCAGGACATGACAAGAATTGGTGACTGCGGTCATTCGCAACATGAGACGCGCTACCTTAATAGATGAAAAGGAATTACATGAGGATAGGTTGGTGGAGGGGAAAAAAAAGCATACCGGAGTTACTCCCGACAGGGCGTAGCTGTACTATGCAGAAAGAAACACCTCAAACATATAAGCACGAACTTCAACATTCACAACATGAGACTCCGTTGGGGGGGGCTGGGATCCTGTCTTTCCAGGGCCAGCAGCCATGTGCGGCGCTCAGCCAGCTGTGTCCACAGGAGGGTGAGAGATCTTGGGAGGGGCGCAGAGCACATTCCTGCAGGTTGATGGCCTTGCTGTGAAGTCCACAATCTGAAGGCGGGGGGGGGAGTCCACAGCATCTGTCTGCATTTCTTCCTTCGTGGGGGATGATTATTTGCAGCTTCAAGGCTGCATGGCGTCAGATAAGGATAACAAGACTGTGTTTGGGTCAGGCAGAGATAATTTTCCCTCTGCCTTCAGTCTGTAACTGGTCATTCCAGTCCTTCAGTGAAGCCAATTCGGGTAATTAAACATCTCCACACCGTCCGGTGACCCTCTCCGAGATGACATCCATTTTGTGCACGAACACCGGTAACGCAGCTAAGACATTGTCCAGCTTACGATTCACCTCGAGTAACGTACCAGTCTGTGAGGTCTCCGCCCGGACGGTGCCGTCCATGGGTGCGGGTCGCCCTCCAATCGCTCCCGTCATCCCATTTTTTCGGAAAACCAGATATCCTCCCATTCCAATCAGAAGAAATCCAGTTATCATCAGGCCAAACATCCACATATCTTCGACGTCCTCAATGGACAGCTGAGAGAGACAGATGACATTCCACTCCTTCCAGGAATCGAGCATATATCCCGCTGCGTGTGTCCCGTGAGGGCAAGTGGGAGCCCCCTCCTCCGTTCTCATCGTAGAAAAAATCTTATCAATCGCGTTGAATGACCAATTAATTAAATCCATTTCTGAAAAATAGTGATTTCCAGAGGAAATGCAGAGAAGCGCTCTGTAGGCAGACAAGACAAAAAGAGCCTTGGGAAAAAAAGATAAGGGAGCAAAGCAGAAGCGACTGTGCTCTGTGAGTGCCAGGAGAAGGAATTGTAGAGGTGAACTGCCTTTTGCTGTATCTGTTTTCTCCTGTTTGGTTTGCCAGGGAGGTAAGTTTGGTTTGTCCATTGGTTCCTTTAATTTGTAGGTAAGATGGCTGTTTAAGTTAGATGTGTATTGTTAGTTTGTTACTTTGGCCTTGTTCACCCTGAAGCTGAATCCTCCCTCACCCTTAGTTAGCGTTTAATTGAGTATTTGGTTATTGTGTCAATAAATTATTAGAAATTCCTTTAGTATGGTTGCTTGGGATCGGCGGTTAATGGTGGTCCACCCTTTATGTTGCAGCCAGGCCCCTTCTAGACTGGTTGCAACAGTGCTAATCTACGAGTTTCTGATACCGAGAGGTTCACTCCTCCGGCAGTGTCCATCACGGCCTCTTAACCCCTGGGTCGCACAAGAATCTCCACACAAAGAGTGCGTAGATTCGGCACAGATTGCATCGGATGTTTTTTATAAATACAGCGAGGAACATAAGTATCTGAACACCTTGCTATTTCGCAAGTTCTCCCACTTAGAAATCATGGAGGGGTCTGAAATTCACATTGTAGGTGCATTCCCACTGTGAGAGAGAGAATGGGAAAAAAAAATCAGGAAATCACATTGAATGATTTGTAAAGAATTTATTTGTTTTGCACTGCTGGACATAAGTATTTGAATACCTGGAAATCAGCAAGAATTCTGGCTCTCAAAGACCTGTTACTCTGCCTTTAAGAAGTCCACCTCTACTCCACTTAGTAATCATAATTAGTAGCACCTGTCTGAGGTCTTTAAAGACACTATCCACCCCACAGTCAGTCAGACTCAAAACTACTACCATGGGCAAGACCAAGGAGCTGCCAAAAGAAACCAGAGACAAAATCGTGGACCTCCACAAGACTGAAAAGGGCTACAGGGAAATTACCAAGCAGCTTAGAGAAAATAGATCAATTGTTGGAGCAATTGTCAGAAAATGGAAGAGGATAAAGATGACTGTCAGTCTCCCTTGGACTGGGGCTCCATGAAAGATCTCATCTCGTGGGGTATCACTGATGATAAGAAAGGTGAGGAATCAGCCCAGAACTACACAGGAGGAACTGGTTAATGACTTGAAGAGAGCTGGGACCACAGTTTCAAAGGTCACTATTGGTAAAACACTATGCCATCATGGTTTC